TTTTAAACCATGGGATGTTATTCAATACCCCAAGAGGCAGGAACTTGTGGGATATTCAGAAATGAGACACGAGAAGCTCAAAATTACAAACAGGAAATTAAAGGAAAATCCAAAAAATAGGTACAAATATTAGGAAGGAAATGAGGAAAAAGGAAAAATTCGTAGAGTTAATAAAAATGCAGTAATAAAAAAGGCTTTTGGAAGTGGGAAAGTAGAAGAAAGAAGAAGGAAGAAGCAGAAAGAAGAACAGAAAATAGTGATGATATTTTATAATGGATGACCTCAGTACCTGCAGTGGTTGTTTAGGGCACCTGAAGGGAGACAGAAGCTGGAGAAAGACAATTTCCAAGGGTCTGGAGGGACAGGACACAGGGAATGGATTCCCACTGCCAGGGGCAGGGTTAGGTGGGATTTTGGGAAGGAATCATTCCCTGGGAGGGTGGGCAGGCCCTGGAACGGATTCCCAGAGCAGCTGTGGCTGCCCCTGGATCCCTGGAAGTGCCCAAGGCCAGGCTGGATGGGGCTTGGAGCAGCCTGGGATGGTGGAAGGTGTCCCTGCCATGGCAGGGGGTGGCACTGGATCTTTAAAATATAAATCTAAATAATTGGTGCCTACAGCCCAAACCATTCCAGGATTCCATGATAAACATCCCATAAAGCAGCACCAGCCTGGAGTATCCCACAAAACCGACCCTCTGCTGGAGAAACATCCGAGCTCAGCTCATCCATGAGAACTTCCTGCCCTTCCTCCAGTATTTCCAAGCAGGATAATCCCCGGGAAGGACAGAAATGTGATCTAGCTGCTGTTTATCCTGCATTGTTATTAAGCTCAAACCCTCCACAAAAAGCTGGAGCAGCAGTGCTGAGCTCCCCACACGTTTTCCACGCCACCAGTGGCAGCTTCAACCGGCCCAACCTGCCTGGGCTGGGGCAGGAATATTTATATTTATATTTCTCCATACATAAACTCATCCCACTGACATCAATTCCACAGCCAAATGTGTTTCCTATTAAGCAGCCGTGTGTGGGCTGCAGCTCCAGAGCTGGTGTGTGGATTTTTGGGAAGCAGAGCCAGTGTTTAATTCCATTTGGCCTCTGCTGAGGACACAACTCCTTTCAGAGTGTATTAACATCTCTTTCAACTCCTGCAGTAGGAAAAGTGCTCCCATCCCTACTGGAAGCAATGTTTTGTATAACAGGAACACCAAGCTTTGATGAGGGATTTCTTTCTGTGTCGTGTTTTTGTGTCTTAAAAAGTGAAGTTGCTTGGCATTTGAAGCAGAAAATGCATCATTCAGAGTTAAAAATCAGATTTTATCATTAGGTATTCTCAGCTAGCGCTTTGTTTTATGGTATTTAGAAGACAGGAATGTATTCTGGGTGAAATTAAAGGGAAAGGGGAAAAGTCACTCCATAAAATCTTGGAAGCAGATGGGAAAATTCACACAAATTTTTCTCCACCGTTTCCTCCCCTCTGTGAGCACTGGAGGGTTTGGGTGGGGGATTTATGTCTCTGAGTTGGTTTTTTTTCCAGCAACAATCCTGTCCCTAACAAGAGAGTTATTTCCACGTGCATAAATAATTCCCTGAGCAACAGATGCTGTCTGGAGCCAAAATTGGAATTTTGGGGTCCAATAACACAAGGGCACAGGTTCCCCTTAATGCAATTCATGAGTTTGGATCTCTTTCCTCCACCCAACCACAAATTCTGCATTAAATTTGCAGGTTCTGAGCTTCCATCCTCTTGGAATAATTAACCAGAACTGACAAAAAAGTGGAAAAATGATTGGTGAGTCTGCAAAAACCCATGTGCAGAGCAAGAGGCTTGCACAGAAATAACACACAAAGTTACACACAATAATATATAAAATATGTGTATATATAAATATATATTAAAGCAACTAATATCATTTTGTTTTCATTTAGTTACTTTGATTATTTTGAAGAATAAGAACTACTGGTAAATTTTCTTTTCTGAGCTTCAGAAATCCCCTCTCCATTTTTTCCAGCATGCCATGGAAAATCATCTTTTCTATTACACCATTTCTTATAACTGCAAAATTCTGAATTTGAGAATCTGTTTTTTTCCAACTCACTCATGGAAATTGTTGTAAAATCTCCAAAGAGCTAAACCTGTATTTTCTGTTAGGCAAAGAAAATTACAACTGAGGATGTTCTTGTATCGTATTTCACCAGCTAAAGTCTCCATTTTTAGCAGGGCTGAGGTAATGAGCTATTCAATGACAGAGATTGTGCTTAAATCATTCTGGTTTCTTGCCCAAAAACTCTCCTCAGTACCACTGGCACCCCACAAGCAAATTCCTACCACAAGTGAAAATTTAAACTTCCAAAGATCAACTTTCCTCTCTTCTTGTGGTAAACCCTGTGCAGAGCATCAAGAATTTTTAATAAACACACAGCTCTTCATTTTCTATACTTTCTGCATATTACACAAAATACTTTCTCTATTAAATACAGATTTGCTTGGTGTTTTTCTTATAGAAAAAACAAAAAAAAAGGGAGATGGAGTATGTTTCTACTGACAAACTGCAAGAAACTTGAAACAAAAGGAAAAATAAAATTCTTTCTATTTCCTTGGGCTCCTCTGGCTGTGATTGGCACAGGCCAGGCCGATGACATTGGATTTTTCATTTCTGTTTGAATTAAGTCATCAAAGCAGGATTGCTCAGAACAGAAGCAAACCCCTCTGCGGGGACCAGCACCGAGGGGTTCCCAGGCCAGGGAAACTCGGCTTTGGGGTGATTTTCTGGGAGAACACTTCAGGGATGAAAGGCAGATGTGTGTGGACTGGGAAAGGGGATATGGGATGACAGGGCTCTTCCCAGGGTGGAATACAGGGATGGGATCATGGCTCACACAAACCCAGCAGGAGCTCTGCCACTGAGCTGAGCACGGGCACATCCTCCAGAGCTGAGCGCTCCACATTCCTCACCAGGCTGCTGGAATCCAATTCCACTCCCACTTAATCACTTCCAGTGATGACATATGAGGTTATTAAGTGAAATCATCATTTCTGAACCACTGTTCTCACTGTTACATTTGCTGCTCCACCAAGTTCTCTTGTGTTTTCTTTGCTGGTTGCCACAGGATTCTTTGTCCTTGCTGGGAGCAAATCCCCAGAAGCATCATCATTTCACTGCCCAAACCAGTCTTCTCTGGCCAGATCCACACAGGGTCTATTTTTTCCAGAAATCCCTGCTTTTTTTATGGCCTGGCTCCCAAAAGAAAACAACACCCCGGCCAACAGGAGGAAGGAATGAAGTTGTTTCAGATACCTGGATCCCCAACTGTGCTCATGCCATCAAAATCAGACACTGATTGCTGCTCATGATCCCCTGCTCTCACATCTGGGCCATCCCAGACCTTCTCCAGCTGCAGGGATCACTTCCATAATCCAGTTTCTTCCTGGTCAGAATGCCTCACAGAAATGACATCATCCTGAGCACTTTGGGTCACATGGACACATTCCTTCCCCATGCTCACACTGGCAAACATCTCATCTTCTCCACAACCACTTACAAACTGACCCGTGTGATTTGTGCTCTCACATTTAAGGGATGGGAAAAGAACTGCCTGGGAATTGCTTTAACACTGGAATAAGATCCATTTCTTAGTGTTTCTAAAAGCTCTTAACAAAAATCTGTGTTTTAATAGCAACAGGATTGAGACTGATGAGATCGGCAGACAAAAAGGCTTTGGAGGTCAGCATTAATTTGAATTAGCATCTCTCTTAAAAATACAGATTTAATGTGTTTGTGAAAGAAGCCTGAAGTCTTCTGCTTCGGGTAAATAATGATGCAAAAATTGCCCAAATGCAGTCACCTGAGTGGGTTAGATCTGGTTTTCAATTTCCCCACAAATAGCCTGAAAACCACTGGAAACAACAGCAGATAACAGGAATGTGTTTCCTGCCATCATCAAACACCATTCCCTTCCTGTAACCATCACACAGCCATTTCTTCAAACCCCATCCCAAACAATCCCTTGCTGACCTGTTCTTAAGCCTTACCTGGAGTTTCAAATTGCCAATTCCATACAAAACTCACCAGCAGAACAATTTATTCCCTCTCCAGATCCACTGCTCACCTACACAAAATGTGACTAGAAAGAATCTTGTACCAACAAGACCTCCTGGTTTATTAAAATCCAGCTCAAGAATCACTCCTGGGCCTGCACAGACACCCCAACAATCCCAGCCTGTCCCTCCAAACACTCCTGGAGCTCTGGCAGCCTCAGGGCTGTGATTCCCCGATTCCAGTGCTCAACCACCACCTGGCAGAAGAAACTTCTCCCAAAATCCTGGTTCTGCTATTTTATTGGAAATAAAGCACAGGGAGCAGATTTGGCTGCCCTCAGTGTATTCACTAGGAGTCGCCACACCAGAACACGATGCTCACGTCCATATTCCTCTTTTCATTTCAAGTCAGTGGTTGTGCCTTTGTTCTATATGAAACCACATTTGATTCCTTTTAAATTAATAAATATCATGCCTTTAACACAAATAGCATCAGTTGACAGCTCCATAACAGCTTAAATAGACCAAAGGCACATGAAGCAGACAGAAATCCATCGGCATTCTGCGCGTTCCTGCTGTGAATCCACAGATTTTATGATCCTGAGACTGCCAACTTTCCCCATCACAACCTCAGCAAGTCTTTTGAAAAAAGAGACATAAATGAGAAGTCAAAAACTACGGTTCAGGACCATGCTGGTTTGAGCACTTGAACAGTATTGAACTTTGTGTTACTTATTATTTCTACAATATTTACTACACTCACAAAGAAGTCAGAATTCAGAATAAAAGACTGAGGAATTTCTGGTGAATACCCACCAACTGAAATAAACCAGCCCATTAGGATTTCTTCCTAAAAACCCCTAAACCTTCCCCATAAACAAAAGCCACCAGAACATCTCACCCCACATCAAACACGCTCTTCCAACACCGTTTAACGCATCCGTATCCGCACGCTAAAACTCACAGCGAATCCCGTAGATCATGAGAGGATCCAGCTGCTTCTTGCCGTGCTTCCCCTGGCCCGAGAGGTTGGAGATGGCCTGGATCTCCCTGTGGAAGAGGTAATCCAGCAGGGTCAGGGCCATCTTCTCGGCCGTGCGGCAGTTGGTGCTGATGTGCAGCATGTCGGCGGGCGTGATGGGGCAGCGCACGCGCATCTCGGGGTTGTTCTCGTCGCCCAGCCACGTCCCGTTGGGGTAATCCTCTGAAACACACGTTGGGGAAAGGCTGAGCAAGGAGGCAGGCTCAGGAGACGGCCAAGGAAGTCTGCATCGTCTCCCCCCAGTTTGCTCTGCGGCGTCCGTGAGATTCCATGAGATTCCCAGCTGAGAGCAGCGGGATCGCGGCATCGAAACCCAAATTCACCCCAACAGTGACCAAAAATTATTATTGTCCTTCACCTCCTGGCCTACATAGGAGCTGCTGCAGCCAGTCCAGGTGTCCAACACACTCACAGAGACCTCTTTTATTGAGAAACCACTCCGGGCCCAGGGCTCTCATTCCCAGAGTTACTGCAGCTCTGGGATATTCTCAAAGCACAGCAAATCTCAAGCAGCCAACAGCTTTTCCCTTACCCTAAACCCATGAGATTAAAACAAGGCTAAGCAAGATGACAGACTTAAGGAATTATTATCAATAGTGAACACTAAGTGGTTCAATCATTTAAAAGGGGCACATCAAGCAATGACAATCTAGGATGTAACCAGAGATCCCAAACAAAATTTGTGTTTTTCCTCATATTTACTGACTACATTAATTTCTAAGTAATAGTTTTCCAAGGAACAGGCCCTGCAGAAAGATAATTAATCAATCACTAATCATCTTCCCTCTTATTCAAATACACGACTATCACACACTTAATATATTAAGAAGCTTTAAGTATATTAAGAAGCTTTTTTCTTTCTTTCCCAGTTTCTCAGGGAGAGGAAAAAAAAAAAAAGGAATACTAGGGATTTAATTAAATGAATTATTTAAATTCAAAAGAATACTATGCCCTCACTTCAATTAACCTGTGCAGACAATGCCAAAAGTTGATGGATTTAAGACTGACCAGAAACTGGAACAGAGCTCAGGACCAATCCCACCTCAAGTGGAGGATGGAACACATGGCCGAGGATGAGACTCCCATTCCAGACATTCCAGAATTCCTCACACTGCTAACAGGAGCTGGGTATTAAACACTCCAGCAATATTTCAGTGTCCACTGACATGGACCATTTGGATTTGATTTCCATGTTTGCTCAAGTCTGTGGAGTAAAACAAGGTTTGCTGACTGAGGGGTCACTCAGCCCTTCCACAGAGAGCTTTACAGTAATTTATTGTGAACAACATTCAGTTACAATTGCATTCATGACTTTTCTTTCATTAAGTGATCTTAGAGCAGAGTTTTGTGATACAGACTAAGCCCAAATTCCTGGTTTCCATAACCCTTCCAAGTCCCAAACAAGGTGGCAGAGCTCAGGTCAAACAGCATCTCCCTTTCACAGCAAGCAGAATCTGCATTTCCAAACCCCGCACTGGAGTTTATCCCACTACCAGCCAGAAGAACTCAATAAAATATAACATAAAAGCAACTCCAAACACTCCAAACTGCTTTTCCAGCACGACCTTTGGCTTGAGTCACCCCCCATGTCAGGGCTGAGTAACGACAGGATGAGGCAAACGTTGGATTGTGCAATCCTGATTTATCACTGCGAGCAGCAGATTTATCAGCAACACCAGAGCCACACAAGCAGGGAATGGTTTGGGCTGGAAGGGAGACCTTAAAGATCATCTCCTCCACCCCTGCCATGGGCAGGGACAACTTCCACCATCCCAGGCTGCTCCAAGCTCTGTCCAGCCTGGCCTTGAACACTTCCAGGGATCCAGGGGCAGCCCCAGCTCCTCTCAGCATCCTGTGCCAGGGCCTGCCCACCCTCGCAAGGAATAATTCCTTCCTCATACTCAGCAACTTGCAAGGAAAACTATTTATTGTTGATGTATGTAGCAACTCATCCCTCAAACTTTTTTCTGCTGTAATCAGAACTTCATGCTCTGTCCTGAATATATTTTTATTCACTTGCAAATTGCTTGTATTTTTTTTTTTTATTTTTTCTTTCTTAATTTGATCCTTTCCTTTTTATCCTGAGCCAGGATAGGTCACACTGGCTGCTTTCTGCTCCCAGTACCAGGTGCCATCTGAAAAATAAAGTGGTTTGGATGAATTGTGCCTTGTTTTGCATGCCACTGTGTCTGGCCTCACCACAAGTCTGGTTACCATTATCAGGGAAAACAACAGGCTGTTCCTCAAGATAAATGGACTGGCTTAGAAAAATTTGGGCATATCTGGCGAAGCAAAACCATCTCTGGATCAATGTGTACGTTTTTCAAAGAAATTCTAGGAAGCCTGAATAAATTATCCTCCAGCCTATCACAGCCTTACAGCTCACAGGATTGCTGCTGGGTACAGGAATTTCTGCTCTTTATGGAATACCTTTTGCCTGCAGACTTTTCTAACAAATGTTGTTAACCTACATGAACTAAAGATTTTGTTCAATTTGCAAAATCCTCTCTTTTTTCTGCTGGCACAGAGTCCAGAACATACTGTTTTTACCACATGCAACTGTTCTTTTATTGCTCCCAGCCTGGAAAAAAAGACATTATCTTGTTATTCTGACCTATGACCACAATCCCCCCACTAAATTATCTCTTGCATTTTCCTCCTGCTTTCAAAGTTTCAACAGAAAGGGAATTTATTTTATAACCATTTTGCATTAAGCATGACTGAAGTTAACCATGAAACCACTGCAGCTCCGTGAGGGCAAAAAAAGCTGAATTATTCCTTATTTTAGATCAAAAATCATTCCTGCCAGGCTGCCAACACATCTGGCACTTTGTAAGGAGAAAATACAGGATTGGCACCCAAAAATCTGGTGGAAAGAGGAAAATCCAGGGCTGGTTCTGAGTGAGGCACAAATGCCCTGAGCTCTGGTGTGATGTGGAGAAGAATGGATAAGGAAGGAGAAAACAGAATGGAAATTCTATCTGAGCAATGAAATACATAAACACTTTTGACTAAACCTGGATCACTGGAGGCTCCCAGCACTCAAACATCCTGTAATGCACGTGGACTGGTTCTTTGGGAGTATCCTCAGGCTTCACAGGTGGTACCTGGGTGGAATCTGGGCATGCACTGTAAAAGCCAGACTCACACCCAGCACTGCACAGCCATACCCTGCTGCTGCTGCTCCTTAAAGACTTCCAAAAACTCAGGAAATGTGAGCTGGGGAGGAAGAGAACGCTTAAAGAACACCCTTCAACTGCACACACTCATCTGGAGCTCAGCTCATCACACACCTTCTCGTTTTGCCCCATTTTTCTGTCATTAATTAACTGAGGAAGAATTTCATTCCCTGGCACAGCTGCCCAAGGTGGAGTGTCCCTCTCTGGAGGCATCCCAAACCCACCCGGCTGTGTTCCTCCTGCTCCAGGTGCCCCTGCCTCGGGCTGGGTGATCCCAGAGCTCCCTTCCAACCCCAACCACTCCCTGGTTCTGTGAATTTTCCTGCTGCCCTTCAAGGGGAAAGGTCCTTCCTTGCTTTTTTTACACTAAATATCATTTCTCCTGGTCACTTCTCCTTCCAGTGCACAAAGTCAGCTTTGTCCCTCTCTGCACTCACAGCCTCGTTTCCACAACACACCAATTTCCAGCTCCTCTTCAATGCTCTTTTTTCAGCATCACAAAATTGGCCTTTATCTCCATTCTACTCAGCCCAGTTTGCTTTTCAGAGCTGGTTTTGACCCTTTGTTAATGCATTTCTTTTCCCTCCCAGCACAGCTGACCACCCATTCCTGCTCGGGACGTGCCAGGGGCTGCCACGCAAACGAGGAATTCTCTGGGAACAGGAGGAGCCAGTTTGGGGTCAGCAGCAAGAAAAGCCCTGTCAAGACAACAAAAACCAGACAGGGGCTGCTCTGGACGTGCTCTCCCACCCAGGGAAGTGACAAACACTGAGCTGTTACATTTTTCCATTGGGATATACTGACATGGGAGACTAAAAGCAAAGCCAGGCTCTGCTCTCTCCCCAGGAGCTGTCAGTCATTCCTTTAAAACTAGGGAAAACAAAAGGAAACACCTGCCCACAGAAATTCTGGAATTAACATGTTCCATGGCTCCAAGAAGTTGTGTTTATTTTACTCTCAAGGCTGGGTGCAAAGTTGGCAGTGGCAGCAAAAGACTGGTAGGTGCAGAGAGGCAGAAAGATGAATTAATCTTTAAAAAATTAAAATGAACCCCAAAAAAACAAATCCCAACCTACAAAAATAAACCTCCATTTCTAGAGAAATTAAATAACGTTTTGGCTAATGTATAGAAGATTCAACACCAGCATCATGTGGAGGGTTGGAACGAGATGGGCTTCAAGGTCCCTTCCAAGCCAAACCATTCCGTGATTCTGTGATCTTTTAATGAGCTCCTGTCCATTAGCAAGAGTTCACAGGGGCAGTGATTAATTGGCAGAGACTCCAGAGCACTGACTTTATTAATTAAAAATCATTAAGTTCTGTGGAAGGGAGGGACACCTCCAGACCCAGCAGTGGGGCTGTGCTAAAAAAAAAAAAAGGTTAAAGAGCTTTAAAGTCACATTCAGCAAAAGCTCCTCCAGCATAAAATGCAGTTCAGACCCTGGGAACAACACCCACGGCCTGGGCACAGAGCTGGAGCTCTTCACTTGACTCTTCTTTCTGGGGGAAAAGAAAAGTTTCATTTCCTTGTGAATATCAAAGAAAAATCCAATAATCATGGAATGGTTTGGGTTGGAAGGGACATTGTACATTATCCAGTTCCAGCCCTGACACCTTCCACTATCCCAGGCTGCTCCAAGCCCTGTCCAGCCTGGCCTGGGACACCTCCAGGGATCCAGGGGCAGCCACAATAAATCACATTTACTGATTTTTTTGAAGTCTTGTCTGGGAAATCCATTCCAGGGCCCCCCCAAACCTCACAGGGAGAATTTCCTAACCAGTATCCCACCTAACCCTGCCCTGTTTCTGTTTAAATCCAGAAGAATCTCGTGCTCCAGGTAAACCTTCCACAGCACACAAAGGCTGTGGCTGAAGGAGACCCAGCCCCAGCTCACTCCCAAGACCCTGTGGATCCAGGACCAGGAGATATTTTGGGAACAGCCACAGGTTCTTCAGCCTCAGCACAACATCAGTAAGGTCACTTGTTTGTTAAGATAAACGTCAGTTTTGGTGCAACCCAAGAGAGACTCCCTTATTTAATGACTCATGGTAGGATGCGATCAGACAAAAAGTTCAGATAAAAAAAGATCCAAATAAAATTCAGCAAATGAAAATCCATGGACTCAAAGGGCATTATAAAATCTTGGAAAACGTGTTTCATGTCAGAAAATCAGATTTCTAGTTTGGGTTTTGCCCTTTTTTCCTTGTTTAACATATCTTTGTTATATTTGGGTGGAGGTGGGCCAGTGTTAACTCCAAATATCCCTGTGGCAGACACCTGCAAGAAACTCAACTGCTGGCTCCTAATAATTGGAAAAAAAAAAAAACAAACAACCCCAAAGCAATTCAATTTTTATAATTTTCTTTGGCTTTCACAAGTCCTGAAGCCTCATCAGTGTCTCCACATCATTTTGTTTTAGGGTACAAAAGGTTCACTCCTGTTCTGCTCCAGCTCCGTCTCAGTGTCCTGAGGAGTCTGGCAGGAAAGAGCTCCAAGTGCTCATTCCACATGTGAGATCTGATCCTGCCCTGAGCTGGAAAATCCTGTGCACAGATAAGTCTGGGCCATGGACAGAGAGCTGCTTGGATTCCCATTTGGAAAGCAAATGCTGAGTGCTGTTTAATGCTGCCATTATCAAATGACTGCTTCAGATGCCAAGCTGAGGAGACAAGATGTGACTGAGGAGTTCTCTCTGGAAAAAACATCATCAGTCATCCCTTAATTAACACCCAGTGCAGAGCAGTCTCCCCTTCTCTGCTCCAAAATCACACATTTCCAACTCTGCATCAGAAACTGGAGGGACAGGACACAGGGAATGGTTTCAAACCGGGGTTAAATGGGACATTGGGTATGAATTCCTCCCTGTGAAGTTGGGGAGACCCTGGAATGGAATTCCCAGAGAAGCTGTGGCTGCCTCTGGATCCCTGGAAGTGCTCAAGGCCAGGCTGGATGGGGCTTGGAGCAACCTGGGATAGTGGAAGGTGTCAGGGTTGGAATTGGAAGAGCTTTAAGGTCTCTTCCCACCCAAACCATTCCGTGATTCAGTGTCTTCAGAGCTATGAAGGCCCAAAGAACTGATTCACAAATTGAGTTCCTTGCAAGGAGGACACTACAGACCAGCTGCAGCATTTTAGGGAAATCCAATTCAGAATCTTTAGAACTTGAAAAATGCACAAGAACTCTGGAAAGCACAGGAAAAGAGTCTCAAAATAACTTTTCCTGCTCTTACCACCATGAAGGTGCATGTGCAGTGTGTGAAAACTGAAAAGAAAAATAACATTGGGCCATTACATCCATCCCATGCAACCATTATAGAATAAACCATTATAAAAGAAATTTCCTCATGCTTAGTGTGTAACACTTAATGGCTCTCCTGCTCTAAAAGTTTCAGTGAAATTAAAAAAGCTCTTCCTGTGCTCTTTGCTCTGCATGTCCAAAGCTCACTGTTTTTAAGCCTAATTAGAACGTTCACAATTAAATAAAATGCACTGTTGTGTTTCAAGTGAGAAGATGCTGCACTCCAAAACTCCCAGTAAGAATAAATGCATTCCAAAATTAACTGGACTTTAAACACACATGGAATGAAGTCACAGTGTTCAGTCAGCAAAAAACCCAGCCTTGTTCTACACCATTACTGGAACTGGGTCAAAGCTCCTGTATCATTATTTTTCAGGGATAGAAAGGCAATAACACTCATTTTTAAATTATTACAAAAGCAACCAGCAGAGAGAAAACAGTGCCTTTATAGAAATCCATTTCCTAAATCCTGAAAATATCCAGAGCTCAGTGTCAGATCAAACCAACTCTAAACACAGTTTAGTTTTGCTTTCCAGAGCCAGGATGACAGAGTGGAGCTGCCCTGAACACCAGGTGTTTGGTCTCAGTCCTGGACTGGGATCTCCATCCTTAGCCCCTCAGGTTTTACCTGTGCACCCCTCAGGGTCACCTGGAATTCTGTCCCAGCTGCTGAAAGCCAAGGGCTGCTGTGACTTTGCCTCTCCCTGCACACCAGCCCTGTTATTCTCCATCTCTTCCTTTATTAATAATTGAATTTGTGCCACCCTGCAGGTGAAGTCACTTAGCAATTCCCTCCCGTGCAAGGGCAAGGGCAGGTGGAGGGGGGGTCACTGATCTGATCCTCCAAGCATTCATCAATCTCAGAGGTTTTGAATGGATGAGCGTTCCAAAGGTCTGAGGCAAATCAGATCTGCAGACATTAATGGATTGGGTGTTTCTTCAGAATTTACATGCACATCAGTGGGTCAAACCCCACGTTTGTGCAAATCTGTGCCAGGCCAAGGCAGAAAGGGAATTATACAACAAACATTCTCCTGATGCTGCTTTGCTCCTGGTATAGCTGACAGAGCAGTAAAAATTCTGGAATCACTGAGGCTGGAAGAAAACTCCAGGATCAGAGTCCAGCCTGTGCCCAGTCCCCACCTTGTCCTCAGCCCGGAGCTCTGAGTGCCACATCCAGGAATTCCATGGACA